GTGGGCTGGGGGGGAGGGGGGGGCAGCGGGGGTCAGGTCAGGAGCTAGGTGGAGGAGGAGCCCCACTGTGCGCAGGTGGCCTGACTCACGTCCCTGGCAGGTGGGGAAGCGCTACCTGCAGCTGGCGGGAGAGCAGGACGAGGAGCTCAACAGCTGCACAGCTGTGGACTGGCTGACCTTGGCCGCCAAGCAGGGCCGGCGCGAGGCCGTCAAGCTGCTCCGCCGCTGCCTGGCCGACAGGAAAGGTGGGTGCGGTGGGGCCTGGAGCCGCTGCCCGAGGGGTGCGGTGCTGCCTGTTTAGTCACAGCTGAGACAGTAGCAGCAGGAGCCTGACGCAGGCCATGAGAAATACGCCTGATTTCTACTCTCCTTGGGCAGAGGCTCTGGCGTTAGACAGACTCTAGGAGGGGTCCCCTGGGGCCTTTGACGTGGAAGCTGAACTCACTCCTCAGCTCCTGTCTGCACCTACAGGCGACACCCTCAGGGCTCCCATCGGACTGGGGAGTGGACCCCACAGCCGGTGCAGGTGCTCCCTGCGGCAGAGGGGGAAGTGTCATAGCAGACACCTCAGGCACTCGCTGCCGGGAGGGGGTCTGGGCAGCCGGTATGGCCTGGCCACATGTGGTCACTGTCATGTTGCCCACCTTTGGGAGACTTCGGGCCCTGGGGTCATGGAGGAGCCCACTTCCCGAGGGTTCAGGCCTCAGAGAAAGATGGATATGTGCATTATAAATGCCCTTTTTAATGGTTCCTTTTTCAGATTATAGAAGTATTTTATGCTTGTCATAGAAAACGTAAAGACACAAATTAGCCACAGCCCTGAAACCCAGGGAAAAGTACTCTACAGTTTGCTGTATTTCCTTCTGGTTGGTATCCTGTGTCCAGAGTTACGCTTATACAGAATCTGTTCTCCTTGGAAATTGGGCTGATGCTTTGAAAGCACGGAATTGGTGGTGGTCTGTTAGCCAGAATTTCCCATGGCCCCAGCCTCCTTCTTGGAGCAGGTGGAACGCCTCACGCTGGCCGGAGCTGGTCAGTACGGCCCACACTGCGAGCAGTCAGAGCTAGCAGTTCCCAGAGGCCATGAGGGAGCCAGGTCCGGACAAGGACCACGGGGGCTGTAAGGGGAGTGAGCCAGGAAGACAGGATGGCCACTTGGTGTGTCTGCTGGAGTTGGTCAGCCTCTCCTCTGGAGAGGGGGTGCCCACAGGGACTGAGGCCCCATGTCCTTTATAAACGGGTATCCTTTTCTGCCCTGGTAACCAAGGGGCCTGGGGAGCCCCTTGCATGAGTCCCTGCCAGGCCCCCTCAGGAAGAGCCACCAGGGCTCAGAGCGCCACTCAAGAGTCCCAGAGGGGCGGGGCGAGCCCTGACACCTCCTATCCCTCAGGCATCACTTCCGAGAACGAGCAGGAGGTGAGGCAGCTCTCCTCCGAGACTGACCTGGAGCGGGCGGTGCGCAAGGCGGCCCTGGTCATGTACTGGAAGCTCAACCCCAAGAAGAAGAAGCAGGTGGCCGTGTCCGAGCTGCTGGAGAACGTCGACCAGGTCAACGAGCACCGTACGTGCCTCCCTGGGGGTGGTGGGGGCCTTCCTGCCAGGATGCTGGGGCTCCCCTGTGGGAGCCCATGGGGGCTCTGGGAGCCTAACAAGGGGCCCCCGGGGACCTGGGGATAGCATGGATCTCCCATAGGCCTAGGGAGGGTCCTTCTGGGGACATCCTCCTGTGCTCAAGGACACTTCCTGGGGCTCGGGTAGGGACCCTGAGAGACATGCTTGATATGACAGTTGGGGCCACCCCCGGAGCCCCAGAGACCCCTGCAGTGGCCCAGCCCCATCCCCATGTGCTGCCCCCTCCACTGGGACACCCAGGAAAGGCCTCCTGGGAGCTTATGGTTTATTCCAGGGGAGGGTCATAGCAAGAGACAATGCCAGCAAAGGTGTTCAGGGACAGGTCATGCTGACCAGAAGTCTTGACGTGTCCAGTGCTGCAACTACATCCATAAAGGGGTTGAGCTGTGCCCAGGAGGGCACTGAGTCACCCTAGTGGGTGGAGGCTAGGAGGCAGCTGCCCAGAGAAGTGGCCCCTACAGTGGAGGCTCCAGGCCCTGCGGCCCCGAGCTCGGGGACCCCCAGGAGTGCACAGCTTGTTGTGGAGTGCTGCAGAGCATGAGAGGACAGTCCGCCCACCTTGATCCCCAATCTTCTCTGCCCCCTACAGATGGAGGGGCACAGCCAGGCCCTGTCCCCAAGTCGCTGCAGAAGCAGAGGCGGGTGTTGGAGCGCTTGGTCAGCAGTGAATGTGAGTACAGTTGTCCTGCCTCCCCTCCCCCTGTGGCAGCTCCCCATGCTGTCGTGCCTGGCGCCCCACACCCCAAGTCTACTCTGTCCTTCAGGGTCCAGGCTTGGGCCCCCTAGGATGAGGCCTGATGGATGTCAGTTCTGGGCACTGGGACCTGGGCCTTGCCAAGTGGGAGTACACCCCTTAGCGAGAAGGCAGACACAGCAGAGAGGTCAGCATGCCAGTCCCTGCAAGACAGAGAAACATGGGGGTCTGGGCACATTGTGGGCCTGAGCAAGTCAGCAAGGGGGAGGTGGCAGCTAGCAGGTGGAACGAACCAGGGGGCACCCAGCAGGGAGAGCGGGGGCTCTGCACCCAGCGTGGGCTGTCGGGTGTAGGGCAGAACGTGCATGGTGGGGGAGGGGATGGAGGCTTGGGGGCTCTGGAAGCTCAGGTGCCTTCCTCTCTGTGCAGCGCCCAGCACGTGGGTGGACTCTTGGTCTCAGAGCTCTGGGATCTCATCCTGGAGGAGACATGGTGGGTGGGAGGACCTAGGACTGCTCAGCACTAATGGGAAGGTCCTCTCCCAGATCGGCCACCACTTTTCACATGACCTGTCTGGGTCTCAGTCTCCCCTTCTTACAGCAGTGGTCATGTTAGAGTTCCCAGGGGTTTCTGTTGCATCAGGGTGGGGGCGAGGGAGGGCTTTGTGTCGAGGGGACACACTTCCCATTCTCCCACACGCTGGTAAGAAATGTCTGGAGAGTGTTGGAGCTCTGGTGGCAAATCCAACACTGAGTGCGAGGGGCCCTCTGCAGGCCGTGGGTGACAGGGACACAGAAACTGTGCTCCCTGTTTGGGAAGGCACAGCACTGTACCTCCCAGTGTCCTGTCTGCTGCACCGGTCACTCCTGAGGGTCATCACGTGGTTTACTGTCTTTCCTAGCTACACGGCTCTGCCCTGGGAGGCTCCATCTCTCTAGTGACCCAGGCATCCCAGGTGTTGCCCTTGACTTCCCCGACCCTGTATCAGTGAGCACCCCGCCCCGCAGTCCAGACCCTGTTTGCTTTCGTTGTTACTGTCGCTTGGCATTGTGCCCTGCACCTGAAACGCAGCCCCTCTGACAGGAGGCCTCGGCAAACACCTGGTGTACGCCAGGCCAGGCAGGGCCAGCCCTGTGTGTCTGGCAGCCTGTTCATAACTGTGATGGCTCGTGTCCGCTCACCCCACCCCCGGTGCCCTCTGCCAGCCAGAGGGGCGCTCCACGTGGACGCAGCTCTGGGTGCAGCAGGGCGTGACACCTCTGCTAGACTGAGAGCCCAGACTTGGGCACACGCTGGGTTTGCTGAGTTCCCATTCCACACGTTTCCCAGGCTCAGGACACGCTCAGTGCATACGGGTTCTCGGTGTGTGTGTGTTGGAGGGGTTGGTAGGTGGCTGGCAGCTGCCACCAGTGCTGTGAGGAGCTAGAGCTGAGGGAGAGAAGGTGGCAGACAGGTGCTGAGGCTGGTATCTGAGCTGGGCTCGAGGGCAGTGGACCCTGGGATGAAGAGCTGAGAGAGGAACAGCCTGTCGCCGAGGTGAGGCGGCAGGGGAGACCGCACTCCGCAGCCCTGTCTGCCTCTCGTCGGCCGGGTCCTCGCCCCCCGCCCAGGACAGAGGAAGGGCTTCGGAGCCCGTCTCCGCCTTGCCCGTCACACGGGTGACGGCGTGCTTGCGCTGCGGGGGGTCGCCATGCCGTGCTCTCTCATGTTTCAGCCAAGAACTACATCGCGCTGGACGACTTCGTGGAGATCACCAAGAAGTACGCCAAGGGCGTCATCCCCACCAACCTGTTCCTGCAAGACGACGACGACGACGACGAGCTGGGCGGCAAGAGCCCCGACGACCTGCCCCTGCACCTGAAGGTGAGCGCACGGCCAGGCCCCCTGCCTCCCGGGCGGAGCGTGGCGCCAGCACTGCCGTTCGGCTTTGGTTTGGGTTTCGTCACGTTTACAGTGCAGGATGGAGGTTGGTTCCTCAGAGGTGCCTTCCCCCCAGAACAGAGCTGGTGCCCAGGACAGCAGGAGGCCCCGCGGGGCACCGCTTCCCCAGGTCTGCGGGGCAGGGAGAGGTGGGGCGTGCAGAGTGGCGAGGAGGTGAGCCTTGCTTTCCTGGCCTGTGGCTGAGGCTTCAGTTACAGACACACAGGTGGCCCCGCTGCCCTCTCACAATTTACCCCAGTTCATTCACGGGCTGAGTCACGTGGGCCCGTTGGTCACTTTGCAGAGAGCAGGTTTCCAGAAGCTTGGCTGCGCAACCCAGATAGGTTGGCCAGTACAGGGGCCTCGGGAAGACACATCATCACCAGGCCCAGCGTTAGTCTTGGTAGAGGGGACTCAGCCCAGAGGGTAGGAGTGGGGGACAGGCAGTTGACTGAAGTCCCCGTATTGGAGACATCTCGGTGTATGCGCTCCTGGGAGCCTGGGTGTGGTGCCAGGCCAGGGCAGCAGGCATGGCAGCCATGCTCATGGCTGATGGCTGAGTGAGAGTCCCCCAGGGACAGGTGGCATGTCCAGGGGACGATTCTGAGATGCAGGGCCAGGGCGGCTGAAGAACTTGATCAGGGAGGTCATGGCTTTTGTAGAAGGTCCATGCAGAGGCAGGTCTGGGCCCAAACGTGTTCATAGAGTGATGCCACGAGTGTCCTTATTGACATTCAAGGAGAAAGGCGGGTGCTTACTATGGTTCTTGGAGGAGACCACAACCCGGGTGGCCATGGTCTGGGGGTCCTAGTCTGCACTGTCCCGGGTGATGGCTGGTAATGCCTGCTCACCAGAGCTCTCTGGTGTGAACCTCCCTTACGAGCAGCAAGCACAGTGCTGTAAAATCTCTTAAGTTCTTTTTTGGGAAGAGAAGTGTAAAGTGTGTATTTCTGACGAAAAATAAACAGGCTGCGTATCAAAGTTGTCAGAGGCCTTGGAGTCCTTCACAGGTTTTCTCATTAAAAGTCCTTTGCAGAAGAGATGATGAATCATAGCAGGTGCCTTCTGAAGCTGAAAGGTGTCCCAGCTTTTAATAGCCTCTCAGAGAGCAGAGAAACGGACGGGTGCTCAGGGGTCTCCTGCCTCTGAAGGGAACAGTGGCAGGCACCTCGTGAGCTGGCACACCTCCCTTAGAATGTCCCGGGCTGCAAGCACTTTGCTTCTCCAGCCTTTGTGACAGATGAGACCCACCTGAAAATAAGTGCAGTATATTCTAAAACCCCAGCGGACTTTACAGATGATTGCAGAGTACAGCCTGCGAGTGTTTCCCTCAGGCCTACAGCATGCTGTCCAGCGCAGCTTCCTGGGCCTAGTTAGTTCCAGGCAGGCTCTTTGGGAAGCTGCTGGTTGTGACACTCTGTGGTCTTGGTTTCTCATGTCGGGAGTGGCTGACAACCTCGGACCTGGCCGGAGCACTTGTCACTGCCCTTTTACAGAATTTGACTCCCTACTCGTCTTTTAAAATTTCTTCCCTGATCAAAGAAGAGCATGTTTTCATTTGTTTGGACTTTCTCTGTGGAAGATGTTTTTAACCTCAGAGTTTGGTAGACCGCAAGGCATGGGGCTGGGCGGGGCTCCAGGAGGCAGAGTTGGGACCCTGCAAGGAGAGACCTGCCTGTCGCTGCAGCTGGGGCACCAGTGTGCAGGCAAAGGCCGGACTCCCGTGGACCCCCTGTTCTAGAACTTCTGTTGTCATTTAAAAGTTCTCTCAACCATGGGATTGTGTGGCCTCACAGGCAAAAAACAGAACAAAACAAAACCGCATGAATGGCTCTGAACATTAGGGTGGGATTTCAGATTAGAGGGAAAGCGCCAGATGCTTGGGGGCGCTGTGCCAGCTCACCTCCCCACAGCCCTTCCTTCCTCCTCTGCTGAGGTCAAGGCCAGGGGTTCCCTCTGCCCTTTGCCCTGTGTGCAGGTTGGGAGACTGAGACCCAAGGCAGGGAAGGGGCTGCATTTGAATGTAGTCGTGCGGGGTTGTGCCTGTTCTAAGAGGGATGGGGTGGACGGGTGTGTATAGGGGTGGTGGTGGCAGGTGACTGGTCTTAGGTCCCCTGACACCCGTGAACGCATCCCATCTGGGCCTGTTGCAGTTGAATCATCTCCACTTAGTAGAGGTGGCCACGCCCCTGCCCTTCCGTCCACAGACTCTTTTCTGGAGTTCCTGCTCCCACTGCCACTCCTGGGACCGTTCAGAGCCCAGTGTGGGCTGGTGGTGTACTGGTTCCGCCCCCCTCGGTGGATGGGGAGCCGAGGCACAGGGGGGAGGAGACATTTCTGGCAGCCCAGGGCACTGTTGTCCCGACAGCGCGAGACCCCCTGGGGAGGGAAGAGCGCGCAGGGCAGGTTCCTCCAGGCACTGGGATCCCACAGGGAGACCGGCATGCGTGAGTCTGGAGACTGTGGCAGAAGGTCAGCGTCAGGCACTGGCGGGACAGGAGTAGGCGATGGGCTCCAGGGGCCCAGAGGAGGTGGTCAGGACCCAGAACTGGGTGGGAGTGACTGCAGAGCGTGGGGAGGCTGTTCCCACGTGGAGAGCGCGTTACGGGTGGGAAGACCGCTTGGACAGAGGGCCCAGCAGTGGGAAGCAGCCGGGGCGTCTCGCTCACTCTGCCCACCGCTGGGCGGTTGACTCCAGGGAGTAACGAGGTGACTGCGAGAGGCCTCCTGTCCCGGCGCTGACATCGTCTCCCCCTCCCCGCAGGTGGTCAAGTACCCCTTGCACGCGGTCATGGAGATCAAGGAGTACCTGATCGAAATGGCCTCCCGGGTGGGCATGCACTGGCTGAGCACCGTGGTCCCCACCCACCACATCAACGCCCTGCTCGTCTTCTTCATCATCAGCAACCTCACCATCGACTTCTTTGCCTTCTGCGTCCCGCTGGTCGTCTTCTACCTGTCCTTCGTCTCCATGGTGATCTGCACCCTCAAGGTCTTCCAGGACAGCAAGGCCTGGGAGAGCTTCCGCGCCCTCACCAACCTGCTGCTGCGCTTCGAGCCCAACCTGGACGTGGAGCAGGCCGAGGCGAACTTCGGCTGGAACCACCTGGAGCCCTACGTCTACTTCCTGCTGTCCGTCGTCTTTGTGGTCTTCTCCTTCCCCATCGCCAGCAAGGACTGCATCCCCTGCTCCGAGCTGGCCGTGGTGTCCGTCTTCTTCACTGTCGCCAGCTACATGAGCCTGAGCACCTCCGCCGAGCCCTACACCCGGCAGGCCCTGGTCACCGAGGTGGCCGCCGGCCTGCTTTCCCTCCTGCCCACCCTGCCCTTCGACTGGCGCTACCTGAAGTTGCTGGGCCAGACCTTGGTCACCGTGCCCGTCGGCCACCTGGTCGTGCTGAATGTGAGCCTGCCCTGCCTGCTCTACGTCTACCTGCTCTTCCTTTTCTTCCGCATGGCCCAGCTGCGGGCCTTCAAGGGCACCTACTGCTACCTGGTTCCCTACCTGGTCTGCTTCATGTGGTGCGAGCTCTCCGTGGTCATCCTGCTCGAGTCTACCGGCCTGGGGCTGGTCCGCGCCTCCATCGGCTACTTCCTCTTCCTCTTCGCGCTCCCGGTGCTGGTGGCCGGCCTGGCGCTCATGGGCTTGGTGAAGTTTGCGCTCTGGTTCCTGTCGCTGGAGCTCACCAAGATCGCCGTCACCATGGTGGTCTGCAGCATCCCCCTGCTCTTCCGCTGGTGGACCAAGGCCAACCTGTCCGTGGTGGGGATGGTCAAGTCCCTGACGCGGAGCTCCATCGTCAAGCTCATCCTGGTGTGGATCACAGCCATCGTGCTGTTCTGCTGGTTCTACGTGTACCGCTCGGAGGGCATGAAGGTGTACAACTCCACCCTCACCTGGCAGCAGTACGGCTTCCTGTGCGGGCCGCGGGCCTGGAAGGAGACCAACATGGCGCGCACCCAGATCCTCTGCAGCCACCTGGAGGGCCACCGCGTCACCTGGACGGGCCGCTTCAAGTATGTCCGGGTCACGGACATCGACAACAGTGCCGAGTCGGCCATCAACATGCTCCCGTTCGTCGTCGGCGACTGGATGCGCTGCCTGTATGGCGAGGCCTACCCCGCCTGCAGCCCGGGCAGCGCCTCCACGGCCGAAGAGGAGCTCTGCCGCCTCAAGCTGCTGGCCAAGCACCCCTGCCACATCAAGAAGTTCGACCGCTACAAGTTCGAGATCACGGTGGGCATGCCCTTCGGCACCAACGGCACCCGCGGCCCCGAGGAGGATGACGTCACCAAGGACATCGTGCTGCGGGCCAGCAGCGAGTTCAAGGACGTGCTGCTGCACCTGCGCCAGGGCAGCCTCATCGAGTTCAGCACTGTGCTGGAGGGCCGCCTGGGCAGCAAGTGGCCCGTCTTTGAGCTCAAGGCCATCAGCTGCCTCAACTGCATGGCCCAGCTGTCCGCGGCCCGGCGGCACGTGAAGATCGAGCAGGACTGGCGCAGCACCGTGCACAGCGCCACGAAGTTCGCCTTCGACTTCTTCTTCTTCCCCTTCCTGTCGGCCGTGTGAGCGTGGCCCAGCCGGAGGCGTCCGGGCAGGTGGCTGTCGGGACCCTCCTCCCGTGTGGCTGCCCAGCCAGGTGGCGCGACGCTAACACTGAGTGCGTGTGAGTGTGTGTATGCTCACGTGTGCACGTGCGGGGCCCTTGGTCACCCCCTGAGCGCCGCCCGCTTCCACTCCGCTGCCTGGAATGCCCAGCGTCGCTGGAATTGCATGCGCAGTCCTGACCCTGCCCGGACCTTTCAGAGTGAAGCCCTCGCTGGGCTGGACAACTCTGTCCTGAGAAGCACTGAGTGACAGCCTCCCTCCCGGCCCCTGAGCACTGGCCCCTTACTCACGCCTGTGTGGATTTGTGTTTGACTGTGCTGCTGTGTAAACTCAACGTGACACTTATTTATTTGGTGACTGCTAAGCCTCGACAGCTGTGTGCCAGTCCCCAGGGCCCTCTGAGCCGTCACATGGTCAAGGCCCTGCCCGAGTCCTTCCACATTGTAGGCAGAGAAGCGGCAGCTCTGGGCACAGCATGTCCACGCCAAGCTCTGGGTCCACAGCTTGCCTCACGCTCTGTCCGGTGGGTGGTGGGTGAGTGTGAGGGTCTCAGACGCCTGAATCCACCAGGACTGGGAAGTAGGACCTGGCGCGTCCCTTCCAGCCCTTAGGAAAGCTTGGCCATGTTCCGTAAGGGAGAGCGGAAAGCAAGGTCCTGAAGCAGCCGAAATAAAGCCTGTGTTGAAACCTGTCGTCTCCTCTCGTGTAAAAGGAGCCCTTCCTCGTAGGTGCCCAAGACTCAGCAGGTATCTGCGCTCGCGCTGAATTGAGTGCAAGTGTGGTTTGTGTTACGAAGAGCAGAACTGACGTTCTCAGTAGTAGATAGGCCGCCTGCCAGTGAGCAGACCTGGCACCGCCTCCAGGCCAGGGCCCTGTATCGCCATGGCGACAGTGACCACGACCGCCCAGCCGTCCGCTCAGGTCTACTACATCTGAAACACGCGTGGTCATGATTATTTGTGAACTAGATCACTGGTGAAATAGCGTGTAAGTGGTTATTCATGGTTTGTGAGACCATGGCCCGTGGTCAAGGCCGGACAGTCTGGCTGCAGCCCCGCATCCCGAGGGCAGCCCCACCCCAGCTCTGATCATGAAGATCTGAGGCCACGAAACGCATCACAGTTCAGCTTTGCCCCCCAGACTCACCACTGATTGTTGGGGGTGAGAGGCCACTGGCACTTCCTGAGCCAACACAGGTGACATCCGATCCTAACCCTGTGTGAGGGGGGTGCAGTGACAACCTGAACCACAGAACCCCAGGGAGTAAAACAGGCTCGGGGAGGAGGTCACAGCACGTTAGCAACAGAGCCAGGGTTGGACTGAGGTCTGCCTGTCCCTGTCCCCGGGCCACCACTCTGTGCTCACAGGCACCCCAGCAGAGCCGCCTCTGCTTGGAGCAGAGGGGCTGGTCTAGTGAGGTTTGCTCTGGATTAGGCTTTGGACCCCAAGTTGTGCTTTTTCCATCACATGCCCCTTTGTGACCAGGAGCCATTCAATCTGTCCCCGGGCCTCAGTGTCCCCATCTGTGAAATGGGAAGCCTGAGCTTGGTCAGTGATTTCCAAAATTTAGTATTGGAACTTTTAAAAAAATATATTTTTATTAATTTCAGAGAAAGGAAAGGTCGGTCAGTCATTGATCGGCTGCCTCCTGCACCCCCGACTGGGGATCGAGCCTGAAACCTGGGCATGGGCCCTGACCCAGAATCTTACAGTGGTCGATGTTTAACCGCCGAGCCACGCTGGCCCTGGCTGGGCAGTAATAAAACGCTTTTTAGAAACGGAATGGTGTGCAGGACTCCAGCCCAAGTGAGGAGTGTGTTCATCGTGAGTTCAGGTGCCACATACACAGCAGATGAGAACAGGCAGCTGCTTAGTGGGAACCCACTCCTGGGCCCTCAGCTGTGACCTGGGGCAGGCTCGTGCTTTCCAGGCCTCAGTTTCCTCTTCTGTGAATTGAGGATATAGCAGGACCTGCCTCATTAGTTGTTTTTAGGCTTAAATGAGTTCATTTTCTTGCAGAGTGGATAGAATAGGGCCGGACACTAGTAAATGCTCACTAAACGTTTTAAAAAAGAGTTAAAAATGGAACTTCAGGGCCAGATGAATTGTCCCTTCTAGCTTTTTAAAAACTTACGTTTTGTGAAGATAACCATGTTTAGAGTGGAACTGGTCAGAGTGGCTTAATCCAGGCAGAGGGCCGGATGCCCGATGACGCTCTGTTTGCCCCTCCCCGACACCCCCACACACACCCTGGGAAGCACAGTCCCACCTTCTCCCTGCATCACCGGTTTCATCCCTCACGGCTGCACATTCAGGAAAACTTGGCCAATACCTGTGACCTACCATCTAAACATTATTTAACTTAACCACTGAGCCTTGAACAAATATTTACTGCCCTGTGATGCTCAGCAGATGTGGCCGATCCAGTCTGAGTCAAACCCAGGTCATGCCCCCATGAAAAGCACCCGAGCTGCATGCGAGGGGCCCCCATTCAGAGCAGGCAGCGGGAGCCCAAGGGAGGCACCGCCAGCCCGGGGGGGAGACGGGTCAGGAGGCTTCTGGGAGGGCTCGGGGTGTGCCCACTCGGAACACGGAACTAGATTTGGCGAGGCCTGAGGAAGGCTATTCACCAGCCAGGGCACCACTGGGAGGCCTTGGGCACGGCCCTGATGCCAGCTGGTAGCAGAGGACAGCCTGAGGTCAGAGGCCGGGGGAGTGACCAGTCCTGCAAGCAGCCGGAGCCCGGTAAGGTCGCTGAGCTCTGGGAAGATGGTCTCGGTTTGGAGAAGAGACACTGAAAGGCCATCCCCGCTCGGAGCAGACAGGGCCAGCTGTTGTCCTCTGGTTCTGGAGGTCGGACCACTTCCACGGACCCACAAACATCAGAACACCGTTGACCCTCATGGCCCCAGGGCTCCGGATGTGTTCACCATCCCCCTTTCCTGTTGATAAACAGGCTGCTGCCTGGGACCCAGGACCAGGTGTCCCCCAGGAGGGCCTGACCCGCCCTCTGCGAGGGGAGGGACCTAGGTTTCTGAGCACCACCGTGGGTCTGGCACTGTTTACATGAGGTCATTTGGTCCCCGCAACTAGGTCTCATGCCTCCCCCGCCAACCTTGTCCATGAGAATTCTTACAGGTTCAATGACTTGCCCAAAGTCCCATGGCAGAGCTAAGGTGGGAGCCCAAGCCTGTTCTTTTCTTACTGGGCCATGGAGAAATCAACATTTTCCTGGGTGTCGAATTCCCTCTTCAGAACACTGCCCGTGGAGCTGTCCTTGGACCTCCTGGATGGACTGTGCGGGCCGCAAGGGGCAGCAACAGTCAACAGCATGCCCGGTTATCTGCTCAGGGCTGGGCCTCACCACCCCTGCCCCGGGTGTGGGAGCCCCAGGCACAGCAAGAGCAGGTAATGTCCCCAAGACCCACAGCTCATCAAGCCAGGATGTGAATCCCGGCCAGCAGTGGGGCTGCGGGTCCCTGCTCTGGGCCCCCCGCCTCAGTGCTGCTCACCTGGTAGGTGCTCAGACAACACCTGTTGGGTGTGTTAATGTAAGAAATCATTCAAACCTGTGAAGAGTTTTTGTGAGTTTATTTGAGCCAAAACTGTCAACAATTGTCGGGAAGCAAAACCTCAATGTACTGAGATGCTGCTGCGGAGAATGGCAGTTTTGCACCTTGTTTGAGGCATTATAACAAAAGGAGACGGGAGAGGGTCACATGAAGTCCAGTGGTGACAGATCGGGGAGGTGGGAGAGGGCAGGGCAGGGAAACCTCTGGGGTTGGATAGAAAGTAAAATGATGGAAACGCTTCTTTTACTCAGGTGGGTGCAGGACAGTTAACAGTCAACAATTAACTCAGTAACAACGAGGGGATGTGTGGTCCCTGCAGAGCGGGGCCTGTGCTTTGAGGGGTCTGGGAAAAGGAAAATGACTTTGATATTCCAAAGATATGTTATCATAGATGCAAAAAGGCAATAAACAGGCTCAGGTAAGGTAAAGATTGACTTTTGTCAGGGAAGATACCGGCTTAGGACATGACTACCCACCATAAACTGCTTTTAGTTAAAAAGCTTTAATCTCAGACCATCCTTTTGTGGTTACTTTAGGTCTCTGAGTTCGCCAGGTCGCCACGCAGGCCTCCCCCGGGCTCCTCAGGTTAGCGTGTGGCCCCTTTGCGTCCACAGATGAATAAGTGAATCAGCGGATTTGCAAAGATAAATGGTGGTCCTCCCAAGGCGAGGGGGTTCTCATTTGGCGCATTCATAGATGTCACGGTCACGGGCACCCCGGGTGGCCTTACAAAGGTATTAAGCGAATGATTCACTTCTCCAGTATCCATGCCTATTTTGCATGTTTAACACTTTGGGCTTAATGTCAGTAACAGATTCTTTCATTTCCACTTTTACTTTCATTGCCCCCCACCCCCAGTTGCAGACTTTCCAGTCCCTCTCTAAAAGGCAGTGCCACCTGACTGTGTGGGCCGGGTTCTAGCGGGATCCAGGTGCAGATAATAGGGCTTTGTTTTCCAGGAGGACAGAGCTGTTGGAAATGAGTCACTCACCACTTAGGCAATGACTCTGAGCGCTAAAAGCTTCTCGGTTGCTAGGAAACCCCCCCAGGAGCTGACGAGCCTTTGTTCAAGTTTTTTCCAGGTTTCTGAACTTCTGCGGGCCCTGACCCAGTTGGGGGGACGGGGGGGGGGCAGGGACAGACTTAGTTCCAGGCAGCTGACCCCAGGCGTCCATCAGAAGTCACCTTCAGGGACCTGGTTCAGGTGGCACAGAGTCCAGGACCCCGTTTGGGGCCAGGCTGCCTGGGGTTCGTCCCATCCTGGCTCCAAGACTCACAAGTTTGCAACCTCGGGCAAGTCACCCCCCCTTTGTGCCTCAGTTTCCTTGTCTGTGAAGTGAGGGAAGTCACAGCACCCTGTTTTAGGGTGCCTGTGCGATGGAATGGGGTGAACCGCGCGTGGTGCGGGGCGCGGCTCACAGGTGCCCGAGGTTAACACGGACCGTGGAGGGAAAGAATGCTGGCAGCTGGCTGGGCCGATCACTGAGTGGCCCGCAGGCCAGGCCAGGGCTCAGGGACCGGGCCCAGTGGGCGTGAGGGGCCTCGGAGCTCCCAAGCTGAGGACAGATGGGACGACAGTGACACTTTCATCTGAGATGGTCTGTGGTTGGGAGAGGCCTGGGGAGGGAGCAGAGTCTGAGCATTACTTCACGTTGTTACTGCAAAGAGAACCAGCCCAGAGCAGGCCTGCCTCGGGCCGGCCTGTAGTGTGGGGTCCTTGGCATCCTGCAGGAAAGATTTCTCAACACGCGTCCAGGTGATTGTGAGAGGACGTCTAGAAAAGCTGGGGACAGTGAAACAAGGGAGGCTGGGGTAGTAGATGCGACAGGAGAGAGCCTAGGCGGGGCGGCTTCGTCTGCCCAGAAACGTTATGGGAAAGAAGCGAGCCAAGCGGGGCTGCTGTCAGAGCACTGGAGAGTCAGAGAAAAGGGGCCTCGGAGGCAGGATCAGGGCATTAGCCTGGGACGAGCTTCTGCTGCCCATTGCTCCCCTGGCTGCAAGTCTGGCGGGGTCCCTAAGAGTTTAGGGGACGCTGGCTTGAGAGGGAAAGAGAGGGAAGAAAGCGTGGATATGCCCCAGGAAGGACACCAGCGCTGGGGCCTTTGTTTGAGGGTTTTTAAAGGCTGGGAGTTTAGGGGCGGTCTCAGGGGAGGGTCCCAATAGAATATTCATCAGCTTTTCCAGGTGTCCCCTTTCTGGGTTGTGGTCTCCACTGATTGCTCGGCGCCAGGGCAGGGGTCATTAGTCACTGCAGCTGGTCCTGGCATCACCGGCCTGGTTTTGCTGCTTTTCTGGGCCTGGAGCTGAAACAGAACTGAGGCCTAGATGTTATCTCCAGGGAGGAAAGGTCAGGGGGTCTAACCCGCATGGCTAGAGATATGCCAGGGGAGGAAAGGCCATCAGTTNTGGGAGGAAAAGTCAGGGGGGGGTCTCACCCGCATGGCCAAAGATATGCCAGGGGAGGAAGGGCCACCCTGGGGTGAGGTCCAGCATCAGTTTTGCCTGTGGTTGCTAGGCACCCAGGGCTTTCCCCCCTGGGGACCTTCTGTATCTGCTATAAATTGCTCGGCCAATTTGCTCAGCCATCTGTCTCAGTTTCCCCATTCCACGTGCCCAGGAATTTTCCTTGCTTCTTACTGACCTGCCTCAACGTGGCCCCCTCTGTGGTCGCCCACAGCTCTGAGCCCAAGGCGGTCCACGTGTGCAGACCCAGGTGGAGCCAGCCTGGCCGCTCGCCCAGCCCACAGCCCAGCTCCCCACACGTCCCTGGCCTTGCAGGAGCCCCCGCCCAGCCTTCTGTGCCACCATCTGGCTGCAAGCCCCCTGAGCATTGCCCGAAGCTCCCCGGCAGGTCCCCCCTGCCACCCTCAGCAAGGGCAACGTGGAGTCCGCTGGATCCCACCTCTCCTGCCCACTCACGTGTGCGCGACACAGGCAGGTGCTCGGAGCCGCCTGAGGGCCCTCAGCCGTGAGCTGCAGGAATCAGCCAGAAGGATTCAGGTGGCGGGGAGACCAGAGCGAAGGTACCCAGCTGTGTTCATTTTCTAGCCCGTGGGACAAATTACCACAAACTTATCCTCACACAGCACAAATTATTCCCTTACAGTCCGTGGGGTCCAAAGTCTGCCATGGGTCTCCCTGGGCTAAATCAAGGCGTGAACAGGGCTGGTTCCTGCCGGAGGCCCCGGGGAGAGGCCATCCGTGCCCTTGCCTGTTCTAGCTCCGGGATGAACCCACGTTCCCTGACCCACAGCCCCTTCCTGCGTCTTCAAAGCCAGAGATGGCAGGCGGGGCCCTCGTGTCCCATCCGCTGGCCTGCCCATTGGGCAGCTCCCTCGGAGTACAGCCAGCAGAGGCGCTCCGCTCTCGAGGACGGGTGTGGTAGGCTGGTCCACCTGGACTCCCAAGGCTACCCCTGCCCCCACCTGAAGGTCCACGACCTGAACCACAGCTCAAAAGGGACCGCATGAGGCCTAAATGAGATTGAACAGGTCACGTGCCCCATACGGTGGTACCATGGGTTCAGCCATGTATTTTTTATTATCTTAGTCATCCCAACTGAGGAGTGGCACTGCCCTCTCCTGGAGGTGCAGCTCAGAGAGGTTAGCCACGTGCCCAAAGTCACACAGCCAGGAAGCGGCTTTCTCCAACTTCATGGTCTGTCCCGAGGGCTGTGTGACTGATGAACTCAGCCGATGAAAGTCCTGCCCGCAGACCCTCCGGAGCAGCTCCTGCCTTCCTCATGCTGGGCCAAGCGTGTAAAACGCCCGTGTGAACACGGAGAGGCGAGGCCTAGGCTCCCAGGAGGGGTGCGTGCAGCGCTCCCCACAGGCCCTTTCGTTTATCTCAGCCGTCACGGCAGGCTGGGCCGGGCCCCTCTGGCTTCCGCAGCTAATACAGGCACCTCATGGTCTCTGTCCTCTGAGGCTCCCTTTCCCTGGGACACTGAGGCACTTCTGGGGGAGCCCTGAGTTAGGAGTCAGCCAGCCTAAGCTCAAAACCCGGCACCAACACATGCCAGCGAGGTGGCCGCCAGCTAATTCCTTAACCTCTTGGAACCTCAACTTCTTCATCTGTACCATATTCTCATGCTGGATGTGAGGGGCAAAAAAGATCTTGGAGAGAGTGTGAGAATATTTGGGAATTACGGTGGGTTTTGCTCACCAGCTTCCAAACCACCCACCACATGTTGAGGGCTTGGGTGCCAGGCACTGGGCTTTGCAGGCCACGTCCGACATGATCCCGTCCCTCCTGGAACAAGGAGGTTGTTATTATTAGCTCCATTTCCTCGGGGACGAATTCAGAGCTCCGAAAGGTTAAAAGCTGCGCTGGGAGCTGGAGGCAGCAAGGCCTCGAGCGGCCCAGGCTTCCCGGCACCCATGTGCACTTCCATCCACCAGGCATATCACCTCCGGACAGGACCCACCGACCTGGGGGGGCCTCCTTATAAACAAACAGCATTCCAAGCCTCATTTTGGATGTAACATTTGTTATTTTATTGGAAAAAGCTGGTATTCACATATTTATAATTTTTATTCAACAGCTGGATAATCTGTGAGACACCAAAGAAAACAATGCACCCATGAGTTACAGAGTCCGAGATGGTCAGGTCTGTCCACTCCCCCAGCACAGGTCCCACGCCACCAAGAGCCTGGCCCTCAGAGAATTCAAATAAAAACAAAGACAGCCAACCACCTCACAAGGACCACGTTAACGGACGCACAGTCAAGAAGAGCAGAGATCTGAACAGTCAGAGAGCAACGTCCGTGACCATTTCACTGGTCCTTCCGCCGTGTTCGGTTTTGGCCCCTGCCCTCCGAGCCTTTTCTCCACACGCGTTCGATCACTCATGGTCTGCTTTGGATGTTTTTTCCCGGGGCTCCAAAGACAGGCTTTTCTTCTGAAAAGATTTTCTTTCTGTTCCTTTTTGGTTTGCTATCCGAGTTTTAAAACAGAAGTTAGACACCGGGAACTGCACGCAGGCCTCCTCGGGAAGACGGCGCAGGCTCCGTGCCCGGCAGGCGGGAAGGGCTAGACCCAGGGCCTGCAGACACCTCCAGCTGCCTGTGCCAGTCTCCTCTCCGCATCTCAATCACAAAGGGGGCGGGCTGTGCCAAGGACCCCAGGAACCGGGTGAGGCCCCCAGAGCTGGATTTTGGCTTCCACAAGATTTCTATACAATTCACCACATTCCTGAACCTCTTTGCAAAGCAGGGGGAGAGAGGAGCCGATCCTGTGATCGTTAATCTTACTTAGAGTAGGTATGTACATGTAATAGCGTCCAGGCGACCTGGGTTTACGGTGATATAGAAACAAACATTCTTCATTCGTGTTGATTAGGAAACAAAATGGAAAGGCCCGTTTCCCGTGCCCGTGGCCGGAAGGGAGTGCACATGCGTGTTGTGCTTGGACACACAGGTTCACCGTCACCCACGGAGAAGAATCTCAGGTGGGTCTGTACCTGGGTCAGATGACGTCTTGTGGGGAAAAAACAACAACAAAAAAAACCCTGGATTTGGTGGGGGCCTGTGCAGGCTGCTTTCTCAAGCAAACAGCCCGGGTCCCTCCGCCCTTCCTGGGCAGACAACAGGTGGGGGGGGAGCTGGTCCTGCTGCAGTGGCCCCTGGGGGAGCGTCCCCAGAGGATGCTGCGGTCATTAAAGGTCCCTAAAATGTCATAACATGCAATTTCCTTCGCAGGAGCTGCGGTGCACCTGAAAGGAGCCAGGGCGCCGCGTGGGGGGGNCTGCACCCGGCACCTCGGTTCTCCAGGAACCCTGTGGTCGCCCCACCGCTTGGTCCTGATTCACAGGCAGAGACCCCGCGGGCCAGACCTCGGTTTCCACGTGAGCCGCCAGCAGGGGCAGGGAAGCACCTGTGCCGGGACCTGGACGGGGTTCCCGAGCCACCGCCTGGTCGGTGCACACCTTGGGCAAACCGAAGATCGTTCAGGGCCTCAGTTTCCTCATTGTGCAGTGNCAAACCAAAGATCGTTCAGGGCCTCAGTTTCCTCATTGTGCAGTGGGGGTGATAAACTGCTCACCTTTCCATCCCTGGCACCTGGCACAGGGCCTGGCCCTCGGAGCGGGTGATGTGTGTGGAGGATTCCGGAAGGCCACGGAGGGGCCGGTGGAAGTCCCCAGGAGGTGCCCAGCGACTGCCGCAGGGCGATGGGTGCACAGGGGTCAAATCAATGCTCCTAAGCGACCTCGGGGCAGGCCTGGCACTCGGCCGGCCCGCAGCAGAGGTTGGTGAAAGCAGGAGAGACCAGCAGGCGCACACACGGGGAGATTTCCCTCCCTCCTTTCCACTCAGAAACCTAACAGACCTGGGACATGGAAAGACCTGGAAAGAACCTAAAAGACGAGCCTGCGTCCCCAAAGTCTCGGCGTGAAACCACAACCCCAAATGCACGGGTGAGCCCTCAGCTCCGAGACCACGGAAATTACTCCCTTTATCGTCCGAGGACCCCCGGCTGGCTTGTCTGAGCTTCGTTTCTGTCCCCGGAGCCCCATCTGGGGCCACTGAGGCTCGAGGCTCGTGAGAGTAACAGCTCCCGTTGGCTCCCGCTTCCCCTGAAAGGAGCCGCTGGAGAGAAAAATGAACCCGGAGACATAAAAACCCTAATGATGTAAAGATGGCACACAGGTCAAGGGGAACAAAGGAACCCTGGACTTTGAGGCCGACACCACGTCCAAGTTGCGATCTGTGGCTGTGACTCCTTGTGTTACTCATTTAAACAATTCCCAGCGAAGGCTGCCAGGCCCGGGGCAGCCCGGGGCACAGTGACCGCTGCCCCACGGTGCCATTTCCTGCCCCCGTGGCCGCCTGACCGCGTGGGGACAGCGGCAGCCGGTGGGGGCGGCAGGGGCTCCGCGCAGGCCTAGTGCATCTCGGAGTTCACCTTGTCCTGGAAGATGTACAGGTTGTTGGTGGCCGCGATGGCGATGATGTTCTCGGCCGGGTGCCAGGCCGTGTGCAGGATCTTCTTGGTGAAGTCCAAGCTGTCCACGCTGATGTCGTCCCGCCGGCGCTTGCCGCCCACGCACACGCGCCGCGGCTTGAGCACGGCCCGGGGCTTGCTGCTCTCCCTGGAGGCCTCCAGCGTCACGTCACGCTTGGTGTTGCGGTCGAACATGCGGAAGAAGTTGTTGTAGGCACCGGTCATGATGACGCTGGGGGAGAGAGGCGTCAGGCAGGGGGCGCGGGAAGGGACACCTGCCCCTTGTCAGGACAGGAACCCCGGGTGCAGAAGGGAGCCCACGGGGGGGGNGGGGGGTGCCAGGTCCGCCTCCAGGACACCTGCCCTCGTCCCTCCTCCCATCTCAGCTGCCACCCCACACAGACTCCCCAGCGGGGAGCTAAGGCCCCTTCAGTGAGGAGCTCTGCACCTTCGGCTCAGCCCCAAACATCCTCGCAGGACCCCCTGAGCTTCCCCCTCTGGGCCAGGAGCCAGAGCCCAGGCGGTCAGGAGACAAGGCCACATGGGATGGGGGCCGGGGGAGCAAAGGGATCCACACCGCGATGCGGGGCTACGCCGCGGGGCTGACCGGCCAGGCCCGCCCTTCCCCGCAGGCCCCGGCCCCTCTGCTCCCTGAGCAGCTGAGTGAAGAGACGACGCCCGTGGCACACGGCTGCTGCGCAGATGTTCACACACCTGCCCCCCCTCGGGAGAAAGTCCTGCCTGTCCCCCCACCGTTCCCACCATGAGAACAAGCGGGCGCCCCCCTCTCCTTTCTCGCCAGTAAGTCAGCCCTGGGAGCTCTGGTCCTTCGCAGGACAAACGTTCACTCGGCCGGGGGCCTGGCACGTCTGGGCCAGGAATTCCCTCCTGGTTCCCGCCCAGCGTGGCTCTGGGGCTCCACTGCCCGGCCTGTGGGTGCCTGCAGGTGGTCGCATCGATGAGGCTGGGCTTGGCCAGAGCCCCCCGCCTGCAGTGTGTGTGTGTGGGGTCACCTCCCTTGGCACCCAAACCGCTTTCTCTGACCTCGTGTTCAGGGGTAGGTGGGTAGGTGTTGGGGGCAAACCCTCCATAAACTGGCTCTTCCCTGGGCATTCCAGGGTGTCCAGGAGGACCCAGGAGGGCTCGCCTGGGCAGCCAGCCCTGTGCTGGGGCAGGAGAGTGCATGGAGGGGCCTCTCTGGTGCTATCTGGGGAGCGGTGAGGGTGGCCC